AAAAAAAAAAAAAAACAAACAAACAAATAACCCCAACTCTTTCCTTTTATTATTAATAATATTTTAGTATTAGAGATTTTAAATAAATGTACTTAAGAAAGCTATAATGTTGTAATTGAAAATGCTGAGTATTGGTTTGTTTTAAAGAAATGATTGGGAAAATGTTACACAAAATGATTAAAATATATTTCCTCAAGCTAAAATAATTACAAAATCAGTTTCAACTTTCAGAAATGAGAAAATGGTATTTACTTTTTTCTAATTATTGCACATAAAATGTTGGTGAAGTTTTCATTTTTTAATGGTTTTTCTTTGAGATATGTTAATAAATTTAGGCAACTAATTTTTCTCTTTAAGTTAGTAGGCCTTAAATCAGTCTATTTACAGTATATGTTGGAGACAATGTTACTTCTTTTTGAGGAATTATCATGTTACCTTTGAAATATATCAACAGTATCCTCATTTTTAAATGTTATTTTGAATTTAGTGAAATGTTCAGAGTGAAAGAAGAAAGAAGTAGCATTTCTTCCTTGAAAGATGAGTTTACTCAGAGAATTGCAGAAGCAGAAAAGAAAGTTCAGCTAGCCTGCAAAGAGAGAGATGCTGCTAAAAAGGTAATGAGAGTTTCAAATAACATTAAAACTATAGAAAGATAGAGATTTTTGAGTGACAAATGCATTCATAGTAGTTTGATATTAGAAACAAGAAATAAAGGGATACCAGGTAGCATATTAACACTTAAATTGTAGATATTTTAGTACATTTAAAATTACAGATTTTTGATACTTTAAAAAGTCTGAACAAATATTAATTAGTATAAATCCTTGCAAGGTGTATAGCCACCATCATTAGGATAATTTTTGTAAATGATAATTCGTCAGAATAAATAATGCTTAAATTTCAATGATACTATATAAATCAAAGAGTTCATCATTATTCTCATTACTTTCTTCCTACCACTTCAAACATAATATATATACTTGTCCAGCCAAAATAATTTTAAAATATAAATGGTAACTAACTCCTTTTTGGAGGCATAATATTGATTTATTCTAATGTAGGATTTGTTTGGTACTATTGATATTTTGAGCTTCATAAGTTTATATTGTATGAAGCTGTACTTACATTATAGGATGTTTAGTAGCATCCCCACAAGTTGCCAGTAGCAATCCCCGCCTCCCCAGTGTGACAATTGAAAATGTTTTCAAACATTGCTGTATGTCCCTGGGAAGCAAAATTATCCCTGATTGGGAACAACTGCTGTAATGCTTCTAAATTGGAAAAGTAGACTGTTACAGAATTCGGTAACCAACTAAGGTTGCATCCCAACTACTAATAATAACATTAGTAATAACAGTGACTCAGCATTTGCTTTCCTCCTTAGCTGTATTTATTAACCGGAATGTTAATGCTAGTATTTATACTTTTTCTATATGTACTTTTACAGAAAATAAATACATCATAACACTTCCCTCTACCTGGTTGTTTTTATTAGCTGGCTCATTGCAGCCACCAGCAACTAGATGCTACATAACCAACTTTACCTCTTTCTGTTCCTTCTGTTTTCCATCTGGAAAAGTCTAATCAATAAATAAATTTTGAGTAGTGTTTGTTTTCACTATCACATTTAGAATTATAGACCTGAAATAGATCCAAACTATTAACTACACGTGGTAGAATTTAGGTCCAACTCAGTTTATACATTTTATGTATACTGCTATATGTAAAGGAGCTCTGGTGGTACAGTGGTTGAAACATTTGGCAGTTAACCAGGAAGATGGCAGTTCAAACCCACCAGCTGCTCTGTGGGAGAAAGATGAGGCTGTCTGCTTCTATAAAGATTTACAGCCTTGGTAACCCTATGGGGCCATTCTGCTAGGGTTGCTTTGAGTTAGAATCAACTCAATGGAAATGGGTTTGATTCCCTCCCCCTTCCATATTTAACTTCTCTCCTTATGATCTATAGAAAATTCAAAGGTGAATTGAATTACCTCAAGTGATGGCTTTACTTTTCTAGTGATGGGTAACATAATGTCATTTGCTATATACTATTAGAATGAAGTTAATTCTAAAGAGATGAATAAACAGTTTGGAATGATACCACAGGAGGTACATTCTAATGTGGGAGTTGAGGAGGGTTTTAAGGAAGACACGATGCTCTTACTGGATGAATGAGTCAGATTTTGATATTTGAAAAATGTATGGAAATGTTGTGAATGGTTCAGAGCATGGCTTTGGTGACTCACCGACCTGGGTTCAAGTTATAACTCTACCACTAATTAGCTATTTGACTTTCAAAGGTTGCTTGATCTCTCTAAGTCTTAGTTTCCTTATTTGTGTAGTTGAAGTGCCTCCCTCATAGGATTATTGGAGGATTAAATGATGAAACAAAGTATAGTTTTAATACTTAATTAATGTTAGTTATTTTTTAGCTATTATTTAGTTTTACAGCTTAATTTAAAGTCAAAGAACATTTCCTTGTCACCATACTTCTCTGTTGTAGTCTTAAGAGATATAATGTCTTGACTTCTTTTTTCTACTGAATCTCTGCTTTGTAGCGGATCAGAGCCTTACAATCGTGCTACCCTCCCATTTCACAACACATTAATAAATACAAAGAATTCTAGATGAGGAAAAAAAATACACTGAAATGGAGACATGTGCTCTTTAAAAAGTTCAAAATGTAATCTTTAACCTGTAAAATATATATTTAGAGATAGTGAAGAAGGGTACTAAAAGTTAAGTTGTTCTCATTTACACTTCCATATTAAAATGTACTCAAATCTGAATTTAGGGCTTGAATGACATTTTTAAAGCCATTTCCTTGGTCTTAGTTAATCAATATAATAAACTCAAGTTAACTAAACAAAATTTATAGATTTCTGTAAGGAGCCCTAGTGGTGTATGGTTAAGCACTTGGCTGCTAACTGGAAAGTCAGTGGTTTGAAACCACCAATCACTCTGTGGGAGAAAGATGTGGTAGTCTGCTTCTGTAAAGGTTGCAGCCTTGGAAATCCTATGGAAGCAGTTCTACTCTGTGCTGTAAGGTTGCTGTGAGTCAGAATTGACACGTTGGCAGTGGGTTATAGGGAATGTGATTATTAATGGCCTCTTTGAATATGGAAAATATAGCTAGAATGAAAGTAATTTTTTGTGGTATTTACAGATTTATTTTTCTTAATTAGGAAATGAAAAGTATAAAAGGAGAACTTGCCACAAGGTTAAATAGTAGCGAAACTGCAGAGCTTTTGAAAGAGAAAGATGAACAGATCCAAGGGTTAATGGAAGAAGGTACGTAAAGTTATTTAGCTGATTATGAAAAATATTTAAAGAACAGTTATATTAAATATCTAGAATAGGCAAAAGATAGAGACCATAGTTTTATTGGTGGTTACCAGGGGTGGGAGGGAGGGGGAAAGGACGAGTCATTTTATAGGAAGAAGTTTCTGTTTATGGTGTTAGAAAATTTGGCAGCGATTATTGATGATGATTACAAATGTAATTAATGTAATTGATATCGCTAAATTGTACATGTGAAATATGTTGAATTGGTGAATGTTGTGCTGTACATATTTTTGGAACAGTGAAAAAATATTGTTAAAACAGGAAAAGTATTTGTCATGTGACTAATTATTACTTCATAGTAAAAGGTATGGAAGGCAGGAATGTTTGGATTTAAACCTCAGAAATGATGATTGACAGATTATAGAAAAGTAAAGAGTTAAATCCACAGAACTCTGTGTGTGTGTGTGTGTGTGTGTGTATAGCTTTTTGTTTCTAGGGAGTTAAAAAAAAAACAAAAAAAAAACTCCCTGAAATAGGTAGAAATTTGTGCATCCCTAAGAGAGCTTACGGAGCTCTGGTAGCGTAGTGCCTAAGGCACTTGACTGCTAACCCGAAGGCTGGCGGTTCAAACTCACCAGCCTCTCCTCAGAAATAAGGTTGGGCAATCTACTTCCATATAGTGATAATGCCTCGGAGAGACCCAAGGAGAGGTCGCTATGAGTTGCATCTGACTTGGCGGCAAATAACAACAACAGTAAGAGACCTTATAACAGGTCTTAAAAACTTGCCATTTGAACCAGGATATTTGAAGGTTGTAATTCTGGACTTCATGTAATATCTGAATGTCTTATTTGGCTATATACAGTTGTCATTGTATTTCTGGCATCTGATAGTGGATTTTTCATTGTATTCATTTTTCAGTGTTTAAGTATTTTTGTCTGTGAAAAGATTGATAATTATTAGGATCATAAAGTTAAAGATCCATCACCAGATGAATTATCATAATTGAACACTGAATTTCTTTATGTAATGTCTTTGGGGAGAGAAGGTTTTAGAAAGGATGGTTAAGTAATTCTCCTTTCCTTAATTAAAAATTTTCTGGTTATAATAATACTTGCTATTAGCTGATTTTTTTTTTGTGCATTCTGATGTGATTTTTTTTTGTTATAGAAAATATGTGAATGAGAAAAAAATAGACTATAATCCCTCTTTATTAAAAAAAAGCTATTGACTTTTATCATATCTTCTTCTAGTCTCTTTTTAATACAATTTCCTATGCAGTTTTAAACATAAAGATCATACATAATTTTCAATCCTCTTTTTTTTTTCCCAAACATTTACCTGTGCAATTAATTGCTTTGTTTATAATTATTAATGGATGTATTAAAGTTTACTATGTGCATATATTCAAAGAGCAGCTCAAGCATACAAAGCCAGTTACTATAATGAAATGTGCAAAGACCTGGAGTTAGAAAACCAAAAGGGAGCAGCATGTTTGGCATTTCTCAAGCTGAAAGAACTAAGGGAAAAATTAAGCCTTGAGTTACAATTTTGAAAGATTCTATGGGCAAAATATTGAATCATGCAGGAAGCATCAAAAGAAGATGGAAGGAATATACAGAGTCATTGTACCAAAAAGAACACAATCCAAGAACTAATATAGAAAAAGCAAGAATTGATAAGAGAGAGGTCATCATTATCATCTCAGGATACCTTCAAGTAGTAACTGCCTTATGTTAGAACATTAGAGACACTCCAAGTAGTCCTTGATTTATGACAGGGTTCCATTCCTATGACTGTCATAAATCTGTTCTGATGTGCATTGAACACCTTGTTTTTTTCTTTTTATTTCCATATATTTTGCAGTTAACATCTCACTGCTTCTTGAATCTACCTATTAACCTTAACAAAGCAATCAGCATTTGGGTCCATGTTTTTAAGCAACTGACACCCCTGATTTAGTTTAGGAAAAACTCCAGCTAATCCTTTCACTGTAAACTTTTTAAACAATTTTTCTCCTTCCTCTTCCTCGTTATTTTGTCTTCAACACTTCTCTCCTCTTCAAAATCCATTAAGTCCTGATCTGTCAACTCCCCTTCTTTATGACCTGTGAGCTGTTCTACATTGGCAGTATCAAGTTCTAAATTCGATGTTCTTGCAGTGTGGACGACATTTTCATTTATCTCTTCCATCATATCATCCTGATCAAATTCTTAGGGCATGTTCTTATAACTCAGCAATTTTTCTGTATCCTCTGCATACATTTTCCTGTAACTTCCTATCAGGAAGATGCGGTGTTCTAACTACACTAAAGAATATTATAATTCTTTCAGAAATAGCATTATATTACCATACCTCCATCTGTTGCAGCTATTGCCTGAGTAAATGTAGTCCGTAGGTACAATACCTTGATTCATAAGCATCTTGATCCATAAGCTGAATCACAGCTGTTGTATTGGGCAGTTGATATACCACTTTGACATCTTCATTTAGAGCATCTTCATGAGGAGGATGTGTAAGTAGCAGCAGAATCTTGAAAGGAAAGCTTTTTTCAAAGCAATAGGCACACTTCTGGAATGAAACGATTTATAAACTGGTCTTCAAATAACATAGTCATCATCCCCACCTTGGAGTTAACTTCTTAGGCAGACTGGCAGCTTACTTTTGTCAGTGTTTTTGAATGTTCAAGAGTTTTCAGAATAGCAAAACAAGTAAAGGTTTTAATTTAAATCCAGCAGCATTTCCTCCAAGCAGTAGTGTCATTCTGTCTTTATATGCTTTAAAGCTAGGCATCAACTTTGTGTCTTTGTGAATCTAGGTCCTTTCTAGCATCCTTTCCCAAAATAAGCCTGTTTTATTCATGTGAAAATCTGCTCTGATAAATATTCTTCATCTTACATTATCTCGTCCAGCCCATCCTTAAATTTTTCAGCAGTTTCAACATTGATGCTTTCTGTTTCTCTACTTATACGCAGGGAGCTCTGGTAGCATAGTGCCTAAGGCACTTGACTGCTAACCAGAAGGCTGGCGGTTCAAACCCACCATCACTCCTTGGAAGGAAGGTTGGGCAGTCTATTTCCATAGTGATACTGCCTTGAAAACCCAAGGATGGCTCACTATGAGTCGGGTCTGAATCCACAGCACATATCAACTTGTATGCAAGTAATGTAAGCCAAATCTTCATTTGAAGTGATGAAACCAACCCTTGCTGACAGTGAAGTACTCTCAGTAGTCTTCGCCTTCCTGTTCCTTCAGATTTTCAAAAAGGCTGCTTACTTTCATTTAGATTGTCAGTAAACTTCTAGGAATCCTTTTCTGGATTTGTTACTCTGTCTAAATCATCAAGAGCTTTTCTGTCTCATGCATTGGCCCTTGCCTTTTTTTTGTTAAATTGTCAGTTTTGTATCAATCATTTCTTTAACTACCTCCAAGATCCTATTCTTACCCTTAATGATTGTTGAAATGGTCAAATGAGATAGTCCTTCCTCACATGTTGTTTTGCCAACTTTTCATTAGTATATCACAGAGCCTTCCTCATTTTATTGTTTGAATAGAACGTATGGTGATATGACTTCTTTTGCTACACGTATTATTGGAAGTATAAGCAGTGTAAGGCTATGAGAAATTTGAACACTTTGGTTTCAAATTAACAAATGATGCTTCTTAATGGTATAAAATGCTATAGGCAGTAGTACCATGAACTACTAGAAGGATGAACAAATCTGTCTTGGAGGAAATACAGCTGGAATGGCCCTTAGGAGTAAGAATAGCCAGACTTTAACCCTCATACTTTGGTCATGTTGTCAGAAGGTACCATTCATTCCCTGGAGAAGGATATCATACTTGGGAAAGTAGGGGATCAGTGAAAAAAGGGAAAGACCCTCAACAAGATGAATTGACTCAGTGGCTGCAATGATGGGCTTTAGCATGACAGTGATTATGAAGATGGTGCAGGACCAGGCAGTGTTTCATTCTCTTGTATATAGGGTCACTGTGAGTTGAAACTGACTCAATGGCACGTAACAGTATAGGCTGTGGTTAAATGATCAACTGCTAACTGAAAGGTTGGTGGTTCAAATTCACTGTCGTCTCTGGGAGACGGATGTGGTAGTCTGTTCTGTAAAGATTTACAGCCTTGGAAATCCTATCAGGCAGTTCTACTCTGTCCTATAGGGTCACTGAGTCGGAATCTACTTGGTGGTGGTAGGTTTGCACTTTTTTAATAGGCTTGGTCTACAGTGAAGCTGGAGTCGTAACAATTGTTGGGCATATGCACAGTTCAGTTGTCATATGTGCTTAGAGTTGAACATTGCTCAACTTTCTATCTATTACGACTTCCAGCACTGATGCTGACTACATCATAGACTGTCGCGTCCAGTACGGCAGGACAGGTTACGAAACAGAGCAACACAAAAGGGTGAAAGGATTAAGAGAAACAGGGACCAGGCGGACACTTTGCGTATTATGCGAGAGCAACACTTGATGCCTTCGTTCTGCTTTATACATTTATACATGATTATGTCATTATTCTTGGAATCCATACAATCAACTATTTTCTGCATAGTTGGCGTTTTACTCTTCTGCATGTCCAAGGACAACAGATGGTCACTGGAACAATCACAAAAGCTTCCTCAGGAATGATGAATGTAAAACAATAATTGTTTACTAGGGCACAGTTACTAAAGATATGAAATGTTCCAACAAGATAGCAAACGTGGACTACTGGAATAACATCTACTTTTGACACTTAATGTTTTGCCAAGTAAGCATTTAACTGTGAGAGAGGCCTTGCCTTCTCTTGTTGCTGTTGGACATGCCCTTGCACTCATATCCTTTGATAATTTCTCTCTTGGTCTCGAACATTTCCTCCTTTTTTATTTTTTAAATGCAGTAGCTGTACCTCAGTAGTCAAAGACTGAATTACTTGATGTATTAATTTTGGGACCTGCAAAAACTACAAGGAGGCCACATGTTCTGACCTCCTCTAATCTCACAAGAGGAAGACA